TTTAAAATTTTTTTGATGAATCATATACATGTCGTAAGACGAAATAATGATACTAATTATTCGTATTTGCGATCATTACGTTATGGTACTCAAGAATAATAATGTAATTAGGACAATTTTTGATTGATACATCGGATATTATTAAACATTCTAACATATGTCATATCGATTGGATGACGTTTTCATACATTACACGTGCATTAAATACCATGCTTTTCATAAAAAATAGAAAAACGTTTATAATTTCAATAATAAAAATCATTAATATTCGTAAACAATCCTACTGTTGTCAATTCATATAATAAATCATTCATGTATATAATAAAAAAAGATAATACAGGTATAAAATTAAATTTTTGGAAAAATTAGAATTAACAAAGTAAGAGTACAATTGAAATTTTGAGAAAAAAATGTTTATATAATCATGTGAAATGTCTACATAACTAATGAATAATTACATAATGATTGATCTGTACAAACATGTCTAAATATAAGGCGAATGATTCAATCCAAACATCTCTTTTCGTCGTCTTCTTTAAGTCGTCTTCTTGTACTACTACATAAATTTGTTTTACACAAACCGTGTAATATTCCGTTCACACTTAAAGCGAAGACGTCATTCTCTTTTTTCATTTAGATTGTTGATTATCATTTAAATTCCAGTGTAAAAATAAGTAATTGTTGCTATACAAGTCACTAAATCGCAAATCGATTATGTCCCGAGTTTCTCACAATCAGAAAACCACGAGAGGGTCGCTGCGACAAACAAGGATACGGGCAGCGATACCGCAGCTCGTGCGATAATGAAAAATATTACTTCAGCAGAAATATATACGATCTCGGTTCTATCGAGTTAACAGAGGTTTGACAATTATACAAGTGGCGAGAAACGCGGGTGTTAGCAGGATGTCAGTCATTTATGCACTGATGCGGGTCATTGATGATTGCAAGATACCAGAGAATTACTATCTTTCCTTCCAAGCATCTAATCCAATCTTTTTCTTCTTCAAATTTAATTTAAGAATTTATTTTTTGAATACTTGAATTATAACTTCTTGTCAAGCTAAAGCTGCTAAAAGTGTGCTTTAAGACATGAATAGAAAGAGACCTCGATGAATTAAATTTTTTATAATGCGCGCTTCCATGTGTCTCATTGAATTAAGTTAATTAAATTGTTTATAATATTTTACAATCTGTTTTTAAAGTATAAGTCATCCGCGTTAGTCTTCTTAGTTTTTTTTTAATTTATATCAAACTGATAATATTTGATACTGAAAAAAATATTATTTGGCCTTCAGTGTTTGTTAAGAGAAGCTGATGAACTGGGGACATTCTGCACATATAATTACGTTGCGTAACAAATCAATCAGGAAAAGAATGTAAAACATATGTTACCGTTAGATATGCCGACATGAATATATATGTGCTAAGAACATATTAATAATATGTCGTCTATGATATTTATTAACATTTCTAATTATTAAAAAATATTATGCTTGCGATAATAATTGTGCGATAAATCAAAAATAAAATGTATCAGGTTATATTGCTATGTTTATATAATAACAAAGCATTTTCTTAAATGCAATATAGATAAAAATTTAACGTGAAAAAGATTATAAGTATGAAAAAAATTAAAATTTTGTGAAAGCTATTGACCTAAAAATATTTTTTGTTAAAAGTAATATTACTTTACAGAAAAGAATCATTTTTTTTTTCATAATATTATCACAGAATAAAAATTTGTATACTTGCAAATTTTTGTAATGCTGATTTTGATGGAAAATCAATATTCCGAGAATCTGATGTTTACAGAGTCTTTTGTGTCAAGTAATTTAAATGTCATTAAATATATTGCGAAATATAATTATCACATTGTAAAATATTGCATACACAATGATCTTAGAATTACTTAAAATAAAAATTAGTCAATATAAAAATATACGTGACAAGATATCACTGCATTTAATATATAAATAATAAAGTAGAAATAACAAACGAGAATACCGCGGGACCATTAAATCAATGATGTTTCCTGGTGCTTCGGGGAAAACCCATTAAGATACTAATGTAACAGTCACGTTATGTGCGTAAGACTAATCATGTATAACAACTAAATATATGCAACGGATAGACGAACCGAGATACAATTTTGTTTGGTGTGATTTCTTTTTTAGCGGCAATAATAATTCTATTTTAATATCAAAGAGAAAATAGAAAGAAAATTTACTCTAAAAGAAATGAATATTTCTAACAGAAATATCAGCGAAATAATTGGAGCTTAATTGGCCAATTAATCGACATGTCCATATAGCATTATAAGCTTCTTATATATACAGTATAATTATATTTTATCCAACAGAACTTTCCGGAATTACAAGTTTCTCCTTCATTCGAATGTTTATTTTTTTCTTTTTCCGATGTGATTGATGACGCATAACTTTATTTTACAACCGTGTAAGATTTTACAAAATTTTTATAAAATATTACTGTATATTTCCTTTATAACTCTTGCACTTTATTTTGTGTTAAAAACAATTTAAGTTAAAATGCCTTTAACGTGAATAAAAAAAATAAATTACAAGCAGTATAACACGCACTTTCGTGTATTATATTTATGAAGCTATATAAGTTTTTATAAGTTGTAATTTTTTTAAGTAACTTAGAATTATAGCAGATAAAATTGTTTGACGACAATGATAAAATTATGCTGGATTCATTGCTGTTTTGAGCATATAATAATATTGAGCGCAAAATAAATATTATTACATCGAAATTGTGATATGAAGAAAAACAAATATTATGTATCTATGCATCATAAATTGAATGTTTTAAGTATTATCTCATATTTTAAAACCTACTTTATCTCATTTTCATTTTTCTATTTCCAAGCTAGAAGAAGAGTGATCTCTGTTGAATATTGATATAAATCGATGAGCAACAAAATCAATGCAAAGACGATATGATAATTAATTAATATTTATAAGAAAACCGTATATTCTATCTTATATTCTCTCTAATTTTTCATCAAATAATAAACCGTACGTTTGCTAATTGACAATAAATTTAAAATAAATACTAAGATTGTTCCTTTTTAATCTCATCAAATTATTTTTTTCTCTTTTATTTCATTGTTTCAACAAAAAAAAAATTGTGTACAATGTACAACATAAAAACTGTATAATCGTATTAAGATCTCAACGTAAATTTATGTAAACTAATTAATATTATGTATTATAAAAATCGCAAGATACATCTGATTAATTCTGAAATGGCGATATTAATCAATTGATAATGAAAGAAAAGTTCACGCTGCGCAATTCTAGAAATGAATCATGAACCAAGCGAGAATGGTATCCAGGATCACCTTGGAGCAACCATTCGACGAGTTCAAGAATTACGACTCGTCGAATCGCATTATCGTTGATCAATTTGGTGCGTAACGATAAGACATTGTCGTCGTATCAGAAGGGATTCGGTGAGACTTGTATATCCGACGGTATTTTTGCGTAGAGAAAGAGAGAGAGAGAGAGAGAGAGAGAGAGAGAGAGAGAGAGAGAGAGCGTTTGGGGTTATCGCGATTGCGGGGTAATCATATCTGATGGGTCCATTAGTATGTGGCGCGAAAGAAAACAAGAAGATAACAATAAGAAAGATCTCATTTAAGAATCAAATTTCAAGTTTATTCTTTTTTGCCATTTTGCTCCTTTCGCGGCTTGTTTCGTCTGGCACAAATCTTTTTTTGTATATCTTTAACCTTTTGCAGTGTCTTCTTAAATTTTCACATAAATAAACACATAATTTTTTAATAGATATGTATTAAGTCAGATTTAACACAAAAATCCGAGTAATATCTTCGAAAATTTGAAAATGTTATATGGAAAATACGTACATTTTAATACATTTTCTGTTGTTAAAACTTAAAATTTTCTGTTATTTTTGAGTTTTTAAAATATGTTTTTAATACATAGAAATAAGTAAAATAAGACAAATAATAAATCTGCAATCTTTTAAAGTCTAGAAACTGATGTCCATATAATTTCGAAGTTATGCAAAGAGAAACATAAGCAAGAAACAGAATGATAATAATAAAAACAGTATTTGGAGTTAAATTAAAGCTGTATTCCAATAAACACTGCTAATTCTAAAAATCTATAGAATATGTATACTATGAAATATAGATTTTCAGTAATATTAGCAGTGTATACAGGAATATTTATTTTAATTCTCAAGTCCACTGTTTTTATTAATATCTTGTTTTTTGATTATGTTTTCCTTCTCTATATAGCTTCAAAATCAGTACAAAAATCAATTTTCAAATTTCGAAAGACTACAGAGATTTAGCATTTATCTTATTCAACTTATTTCTACGTGATTAAAAATATATTTTTAATTAAAAAAAATGTTAACAATAAAGAATTTATTAAACTGCAGATAAGACATGATCAGAACAATCAAATTATTGGCTTACGTATAATTATGTTAACCTATATTATATTAACCTTGTTATATTAAATGTGATAACAATATTTAAAATATTAAATTTTAAAACGCGATTGGATCTTCCAAAAATGCTGGTAATTACTTTTACTATATACACGTAATATAGATACAAAAGTAATTACCAGAATTTTTAGTATATGTAATATACTATACATATATATTTATATATTATATGTATGTAAATCTAAAAGACAACATGAAATATTATAAACAATATATAATTAATAACAATTATTCCAGTTTCTGAAAAACGATCATGCAAAGATATTTTTATAAAACAGATTTAGAGATTTCAATGTGTTTACAATTTTGATAATAATATTCAATTCGATCTTTTTTGATGCAAAGAATAATGTCAATTGTTTTCTACACAAAAGGGATTTAAGAATTATTTTCACGTGTCTCTCTCAACCTTTGCGAAATTATACCGGCGGGTTCAAATTCCACAGTTAAGGAATGTTACAAATATCACGAATAAACACTTCATCACGATTACAACCTTAGAATCTGAAACCTTAGAATCGAAATTACACAAATTTCAGTCACTATTTCGCGTGTATCTATAAAATGACGATTGAGTTTGCTCGATATCTGATATCGAACGAAGAAATAAACAAACCGAGCGCGTAAGAACAGTTCTCCTTCATGATTAACTGAATCTACTTACGTGTATACATCTTGTTTAACGAACTTGCCTCCTTCGAGCACCGAATGCTTACTGCGGAGGACGATCTAACGAACGAATATAAAATATTAACTGTATCTTCTCAGGAAAACCCCAGTCCCCGCCGAGACTCGAGAGAAACAAGTCCGTCGACGTAGACGATCGTAGTGGTACGACCAATCGTGAGGAAGCGTGCGCTCGTGCGGCTCGAATCGGTGCCGCTGCTCTTTAATCGTTCCCCCCCGATGGTGATCCTGATGAACTCACGTCACACCCGGCTCGGAATACAAACGCACGGATACGAAGGAGATCCGAAAACGCAATCACGACCATCACCGTCTCCTTCCTTTCTTCTCCCGCGCTGAAAGCTGACTGTTGATTTTTCGCTTCGATCGTCGGTTTAAATCACGGTCGAGCACGATTCAAGAGTGGAGAACGCAAGAAGACCTCCCCGGGAAGATTGAACTTGAACCTAGTATTATTATCCGAAATTATCGAATTGAACTTGAACCCAGTATAATTCCCCGAAGTTGTCGAGAGATATATGAAAATAATTCTTTTAGATCGATATTCATAAATACAATTTAATCATAAGCCAATCACAGAGCTGTAATTAGCATCTTAAGATGTCACTTAAGATGATCTTAAAATAAGAACAGACTATAAATATCGGTTTAGAGTCTTATACAAAAAATGATATGTGACACTTGGCGTAAAAACTAGGTTTGTTCGCGTCGCATACTTCAATATATGTTCGTACTACAGCTTCTACTATTTCCATAAAGTTACAGCACCAAAGATTGTATTCAATCAATTAATTACATCGGTTTCAATTCGGACGTTTGATTCTCTGCTTAAGTCGCAAGAATTGACTATATATGAATACTAGCTTAAATAGAATTTTCCATAGCGTAACTTCAAAATTGATAAGCGAAAAGAAATAAATAGACTCATTTATAAAATGAAAAAATCCGTAACTTAAGTGAGACTTAGTCTGCAAACACAATAGAGTAGTAAGCCTGAAGCCTCAAGAAATTGATCAATCACAGATGAATGTGAGAAGAATAATCGATTATGATTGGTCAATTCCTTAAGGCTTAAAGTTTAGTGCTAGTATTCATATATGTCAATTCTTATATTTAAAACTGTGTCTTAATTACTTATATTTAAGGTTAGTTTTAAGATGTCATGAATCAATCAGAGGGCCTCATTAGTATCTTAAGACATCACTTAAGACATCACTTAAATACAAACGGACTATGAATATCAGCCTTAAATCTTATATCTTTTTGAAAGATTACAGGTGGAAGGATCTTACTGAGCAGAGTATTTATTTTTGCTGTACGAAACCAGTTCTAGGAAACCTGTTGCCCAGTGCAAGGTTAAATTTATAAACGTACTAACACTTTCTCGCTACTTTGATCTTCGTGCAAACATTTGTGCAGGTGTACTTTATCTGCATTTTTGCTATACTCTTGTCTCTTATAGTATACTCTTGTCTCTTATAAAAAGATATATAAGAATACTTGTAAGAAAGAAAGTATGAGCTAAGAAATATATAAAACATAAAGTATAAAGATATAAGAAAAATGAACACAAAAAAACAAAGCTTAGAAAAATGATTAAAAGGAAAAAGGAAGAAAAATTAAATTTTTATCTTTCGAATTATATATTATCTTTCGTATAATATTATATATTATAAATATTACACGGCGTATTCATTACAATATATGCATATTAATCTGTTTTTAATGTAATAATTTTTGGTTTTTTTAATAATATTGAATTATTAGTTAATTAATTGTCAATTAAAATTATCAATTAATGTGTTTGGATTTCCAGTGGATCACTACGTGTATCAAATTTATTTAATCTCATTCATTTGCAGTAAATTAATGAATATCATGCTATTATTAGAGCAAACTGTAGCATACGAATATACATCGCTGTGACATTTAGGCCCAGTTCCACACAACTGACGGTTAACTTATAACCGAGGTTCAACTTATTTATTGTCTCTTTCCAATTTTAGAATTGAAAAAAGATGAAAAATAAATTGAACCATGGTTAAGAGTTGTGAAACTGGGCCTTAATATCTTGCAATACAGTTTATATCCATCCAAGTTTATATCCATTGCTGTACAAAAATATGCTTCCTACGGAGATATGCTTCCTACCAACAGGAAAAAATTGCAAGGAGATATATTACGTAGCAAAACCGGTTATTCTACGGGATTATCCTATAGTTAGAGACGTTTTAATTTACTAATATCGTAGTCCTACGATAAGAACGATTGAAACAAAATCAAGCATTTCATAAACACGAATATCGAAATTTTAAATAGACGATTTCTCTTGATCTTCTTAGAATTACACGTTTTATCTCCAATATTACACTATTTCAAACTTCTTTGAGAATTAAAAATCAATTGAGATGAATAATCAATTTTACTTAATTAATTAAAACTGAGTAAAGCAAAGCTTTTAGTAAATAATAAACTTACACGCTAAAATATAATTTTAATATTTATTTGAACTTAAAGGCAACTATGAAACTTTATATCATACTTGCAAATTAATTTAAGCGCGCAAATAGGTTTTTTTCCAAGTTCAACGAACGTAACTATACATATACACACACACACGCGCGCGCGCGCGCAAAAATAAACGTAGAAACCCAAGTACTTTCCTTGTGACACAATGACGTCACTCTGCGTCATCAAATTACACAAAGTAGTTGGCTATTTTTATTTCTGTTACCTACTACAAATTATATATATATATATATATATATATATA